TTCTTTTTTTCAATCTTACTGTGAACAAGCGACTGCTGCTGTAACAAGAGAACTCAAGTTAACAAAAGCTGAATGGGACGAAGTGAAGGACCTGCGAGACCTCCTGGCAAAGCCAAACCAAACCACGAATCTTCAAGCTGTCAATGTAACCCCGGGAGTTTTAATGAAGGAATGGCGATAACTGTCAAAATTCTTGCAAGAAAATGGCAGAAGGAATGGTATCCTCCATGCAGAAACGTGAAGAGAAGCTCTTTGACAATATTCATTTCCTTGCTGGAGTTTGTTGACCTATGGTATCGGATTCTTCTTACCCTCAAGGGAAATACCAAAGGCAAAGGAAGGGCTCCTTAATATTGCTCGACGACTCAAAATACAAAATCATTGCTACATTTGAACTTGGCAAAAGAGGTTGAAGAAAACGAAGCACAACAAAAGGAGTTATCAACAATCGAATCTGCAGTTTCGGAAAGTTCACATCCTTCAGAAATAGCAGGCTGTTCTCAAACTTTAGTCTCCACTCTGAACTTGTTTGAGCATCCATCCCATAGCTGTCTTCAACCATCACAGGGAAATGGAGATAATTCAAGCACCAATTCAGAAGATGACAACTTTGAAAAGAAATTGGATAAACAAGAAAGACACGGTCGAGTTTTAATTGTAATGAAGCATTATTCAAAAGAAACTTTCGGGAAGATTGTGAGGCAATGGAGTCTATTGATAGGCTAAAAGTTAAGTGTTTTTTAGGCCATTCACAGCTATCCACACCGCATTCAGGCTGCCTGGGGAATTGCTTCAAGCATGCTAACAACTCAAGTTAGTGTAGAGCAACTGTTTTCAGCTTTCAAGTTAATTTTAAAAGATCTGCGGAAGGCTATGAAAGACCACTTGATTGCTGAAATAATTTTTTCCAGATTGAATTATGAATTATTCTAGTTTGTATCATTGTTGATAACATTTAAATTGTTTTAAAACTCTGAATAAATATTTTCAAAATTACAGTATGCACTTTGTTATTTAGTTAAATTAATTACAGTCAGAATGCAGAGCGGAGTCGGAACAGTCACTATTGGTGCTGGAGCGGAGCAATTTAAAAAATGTTGCTATATCTTGCTGGGGCTGGCATTCACTTGCACACCAGGGATTTGGAGCAAGCAAATTTTTGAACACAAGAAAGAAGATGCTTAAGTATAATCAGTGAAGGTCAGGCAGTAATGAAGGTGCTATGGTGAATATCATACTCAGGCTATGTCTACACTACAGAGTTTTTCTGGGATTCCCCAAAAAAACTCCACCGCGTCCAGGGGACGCATCTGCTCTTCCACTTTCTTTTTTGGCAGAAGAGCAGATGCACTCTTTCAGAAGCAGTTTCCTCCTTCTACGAGGAAAAAGGGCTCTTTCAAAAGAGGCCGCTTTTCCAAAATTTGGCACAGTATAGACAGGCCAAATTTCGGAGAAGCCTCTTCCGAAAGAACTATCGGAAAAAGACATACAAATTGCAGCACGCAATTTGCATACATTTTTCCAATAGATCAATGTAGTCCAGTCATAGCCTCAGATTTCAGCCTCTTGTCTTGTTATAATTTCCTAAATTCTGCAGAAACCATAAATTATTTCTCTTTATTATATAAAATCTGAATTTCCAAACCATCTTCCAACAAGTGGGAGCCTTTGAGAGTGAGACAAAAAAAAATCCTTTTCAAACCCTTGATTTCCTTCATTAATGTAAAAAGGTACAAGCTCAATTCTCCTCTACTTTTTGTTTCTTCTTTGAAGGTCATATATAACTGTTCTTTTGTCTTTTTAAATTAATTATGGGCATAATTTGATTTGTTTTATTTTTCCTGCTGCCCAGCAGTGGATTTATAGTAACTGTATCCAATGTATGGCATTTCCTGATTAGAATGATTTTGGAGAAATTCCTTAAACAGTGTTCATTTATCTTTATGGGAACCATTAATTACAACAGTTTGACAAGTGCAGCATCATAATCATGAGCAAAAGCCTTCAATGCAAATTTAATGATTAAACTCAAAAAAAAAAAAAAACAGTTGACAACATATGTTGATCTAAAAAGTATGGATAGATAAATGAAGGCTAATATCATTGTAAGGCCCAAGAGATAACTATCCATTATCAGTTAAACCTCATCTGGACTACTGCATCTAATTTTGAGCATCACACTAAGATAGATGCAGACTGGAGCACTGAAGTAGGGGAAGCCAAAGCCCCATCACTTTTAAAAAGGGAGGGCAATGGGAGGCAGGAGTATGGAAGTGTGAGTGAGGGGCAGGGTCTTTGGGAGGAGTTGGCACAGGAGCAGGCCTCAGTGGAAGAGGTAGTGTGGGGGAGAGGCCCTCAGGAAGCAGCAGTGTAACGATGGGAAATTGGGGAAAAGCAGTATAATCAAGGAGCTAGGCTACAGTTCAGGCAACAGTGATTCCTCCCTCCCTTCCTCTTTTAGGGAGCTTCCAGTGCTCTCAATGTATACAAATCATTTTTGTTGCTCTCCTCTGATAAACCTGAGCTATCAGGAAAGATTAAAAATGGAGTAGTTTAGTCTTGAAAAACACCCAGTCGCCCTATACGCCGGAAAATACGGTAGTTTAGTCTTGAAAAAAGAAGTCCAAGAGAAGATCTGGTAGCAATTTTCAAATATGTTAAGGACTAGCCTAAACAGGACTATGATCAATTATTCTCCATTCCACTGAAGGTACTAATGGGCTTTATCTGAGGCAAGAGAAATATTAGGGTAGATGTTAGGAAAAGCTTTCTAACTGGAACAGTCTGCAATAGGCTTCCAGAGGAGGATGTGGAATCTCCATCTGTGGAAGCTTTTAACAGGCCAAACAAACACTAGTCTGGGTTTACTTCGATTCTGCCTCAGCGAACGAGGCTGGATATGACTTGAGGTTATATAAGGCTATGTCTACACTGCAGGCTTCTTGCACAAAAACAGCTGTTCTTGTGAAAAACGTGGAGCATCTACACTGCATGCACACTCTTGTGCAAATAAATTTACAGTAAAGCATCAGAAGAGAGGGCTTTTATGCAGGAGTTATTCTCCCCATGAGGAATAAGCCCAGGGCTGGCTTTAGGAAGTGACGGGCCCAATTCAAACAGTTTCGACCAGGCCCTGGCAGCCAGGATTTTTTGTTGACAAACACCCCCCTCCACACACACAAATTTTAGTTGAGTAAATAAAAAAATATAGTACACAAAAAGTCACAGCCCCTTTAAATCTCCAGCTACAGGGCAGAATCCCACCTTCCCACCAAACCTAGAGGTTGACCCTCCTGTAGCACATGGAAATCACTGCGCTCAACTCACCCCTCCTGTAGTGCACAGAAGCCACCGTGTTCCTCCAGGGCCAATGCCCCCTCCTGCAGCACACCCAGCACACTTCCGGATTTAGGATATGGGGCCCGATTCGGGGTAATGGGGCTAATCAGCCTAAAGCTGGTCCTGCATAAGCCCTCTTCTGCAAGAGCTCTTGTGCAAGAGGGCAGTGTGGACAGGCAACAGTGCATTCTTGTGCAAGAAACCCCTATGGCTAAAATGGCCATCAGAGCTTTCTCATCATCCACACGGCAATGGATTCTCTTGCGCAAAAGCACATAGGAGTGTGGACACTCTTGCACAAGAATTTTTGTGCAACAACTCTTGCGCAAAACAGTTGTTGTGCAAGAAGCCTACAGTGTAGATGTAGCTCAACAGTATTCAAGTCAAGAAAAATAAAGGAGGGGGGGTACATGCAAAGATAATTCAGTAACCAAGTGGTTGAAAATATTGGTAGTATGCAACATATGCTCATTTAAAAAGATGCTATATTGTAGAAGTCTGCACTGATAACTGACTGCTCTTTCACTTGCATGCTGTATGACTACTAAAGCCCAAGTGCAGATTTCAATATCTAACAAAGCCCTAAAAAGGATTTACAAAAGTTAGATAAGCAGGAAATGTGAAATGCTCAGATTCATTTCTTTATAATTAATAATTCTCCCTGCATCATGATTTATTTCTGATGTAATTTTTTTGCAGGTGAAGTGAGAGGTTGCCAAGTATTAGTGAAACAGGTGACTTTGGGATTAAAATGAGTGATGTTGCTCTGAATGAAGGACACGAGCGGTATGGTTATATATCTATGTTTGTGTAGGGATCATGGGGTCACACAGAGAATAGGTTCCAAAGCTCAGTGTAAATGAAAACAGATCAGGCTCAGCTTTCATTTAAAGCCTGAATTGTTTCAGCTTTGTTTGATTTCTGCACACAAAGTACATTGCCTACGAAATTAGATTATTTTGCACAATTCCATCACTCATCATTGCAATAACCTTGTGAAGAAGTCTACCATTTCTTAAATGCTAGAATACTCCATAGGTTGGACATGTACTAACCTTGACTAGCAAGGCAAGTAGGAACTATCTTGCAATCCATCTTTTACCCCCCCAAAAAAGTAAGTCAGGATTCTAGCCTTAGATACATTGGCTAGAGACAAATCAAATTAATACTAGTAGGGCTGTAGTGTGAGAAAATCTCTGGGCACTACTGTTCCAATTTATATCACTTCAGGTTTCCATCACTAATACGAAGATATGCATTGAATGAGGATAGGATTGTCTTCTGGTTTTGGTTGTTTTAGGAATAGCAATACCCAGCCGAGTTAGTTTCAGTTCACAGACGTTCAGAGAACCGTGTTTTGTTTGAGCAAACAAGTTCTTAATTTTTTAATCTTTAAATAATACATTTTCACAATCCTAGCTCTAATATAATAAAGCATTGTTTAGTTAAAACTGAATTCTCCAACAGCACAGCTTGCAGACAGAAAATAAATGGTTTTGGATTTGTACTCAATAGTAAATAATACAACCCATATGGATACCAGACAACTCTTGCATCCTTATCTCAAGGAGCTTGTAAGAAGCCCCTTTTCCACAAGGTAAATAATTAGTTATTCATTTCCACAATAAAACA